AGCTAAACACTGATATATACCTTGTCACTGATATATTGCTATCTTTAGTGTGCACTGCATATGAGCCTAATAGAGCTAAACACTGATATATACCTGGTCACTGATATAGTGCTATCTTTAGTGGTGCACTGTCTATTAATCTAAAAGAGCTAAACACTGATATATACCTTGTCACTGATATATTGCTATCTTTAGTGTGCACTGCATATGAGCCTAATAGAGCTAAACTCGTATATACCTGGGCACTGATATATTGCCATCTTTAGTGGTGCACTGCCTATGAACCTAATGGAGCTAAACTCGTATATACCTGGTCACTGATATATTGCCATCTTTAGTGGTGCACTATCTATGAACCTAATGGAGCTCTAAACACTGATATATATCTTCAATGGTGCACTGTTAAATGCCCAATGATATACCAAAATCAGCTGCCAAAATTGGTGCTTTAAAATTTAACCACAGAGATGGAAGATTATATGTAAAAATAGAATATTTCATCCCCCCTCAAGACTATAATTATGTTCATACTTAGCAGTGTTGCTTTTATTTCTAAGATATTGCTAACATGAATGTCCAGCATTATTTTAGAAAAAAAACTGATTTAATCTGAAATGTTTTTATTGATATAATAGTAACTGAACTGTGAGTAAACAAGTGTTGTTGACCTTTGACACAAGATGCAAATGATCTAATTGATATTCATATTAACACCATATGATGACTCAGATTTTGAAAAAAATTAAAAATGGCTGCTCATTTGTTAGGGAATACATATGCAATCCTGAAGACTATGCAATGAGTATTTGGAATCTGAAAACATATCATAAATGCAGATGTTCTTGTAAAAATTAAATGAATATTTTATCAGTTGTATCAGGGGAAAGTTCAATCTATCATCAAGTTAATAGTTAACCCCTGTTCTTCAAATAAAGAAACCCAGTTGTGCCTGACTATTCCGTACAATGTTTTGCCAATTAATTGAAAACACTGCCATTGTTTTTATAGAAAATAATTAGATCTTTTATAGTTTTTAGAAAATAATAGTTTTTCGCAGAGTTAATTTATCTAGTAATTAATTGTGTTGTTGTCTTATAATCTCCAAGACTATTTATGTAACAGAATCTATTTTTCTTGAAGTTGTAATTGCATTGGTATATATCAATAATTAAAACAAGTTTTTTTAAAAAAAAATTATTACCGTAATAACTTGTCATTATATTCTTGTACTGTAAGCATTGGGAGATGATGATATGCAAGTACTGACTGCATGCTTGTGAGCTTAAATTAATGTCAGTTTACAATCTGCATATTAATACAATTAGCCATTTGCATTGGTGTACCATGGAAGGTAGTACCTTGGTGTACATGCATCTTGGATGGACCTCTCAGATTTGTTCATTTCGACATATCTTCAAATTTTGATGACTATTTTTGGTAAAAAGTAATATCTTCGACTTCTTAAAAATAGTTAGCTTGATTGCTCTGATATTTCATATTTACACACCTTGAATGCCCTTAGTCTGATTTTTACCTTGCCAGTACCATCAAAGATGAAAGGTATATTAAGGCAAAAATTTCTGTCATCGTTTATTGTTATTGTGGTGATGCACATTCAAAGGTCACTGATCTCAGTGGAAATATGCATTGTTGTATGTGTTCAATGAAACAAATCATTTATCTTGTATCAATATCATTGGTAATGTATCTCCCAAATCCCATGGGAATACTGGATTTCAAAACCAACGCAGAGAGAGTTTTTTGCACAGTCTGATACACATTTGCAAACCTACCAATAAACACTTTACAGAAAACAAGATGTCAGAAAATTAATATAAGCACTCCTATGAACTGGGTGCCAAACTTTGGTCAAGATCTGAAGCTAATAGAAAATCTGTTTAGTTCAAAGTTATCAAATCAAAAACAATGCATAAAAAATGCATATTAAGCAATATACGTACAACATCAAAACTACAATTTTTGAATTTAGACAAAATTGTTAGTTAAAAAGCAAGTTTACTGACAGTAAAACAATTAGTAAATTAGTAAAACACAAATAGTAAATTATTACCCTAGCGCTCGATAATACCATGACAACTAGTTCTTTTGATGTTGTACGTATGTACAGATAAATAATAGGCAATACGAAACACATGTCATTATATTTTGGACAACTGCAGATGTATGCAGCATTCCAATTAAGAAATTAATTCACTGAGTTATATTGTATTCTAGTAGATTAAGTAATTATGTTTACTAGGTACACTCAATCTC